AAAGACTTAAAACACTTGAAAGAGCTGGCCATGCAGATATCTGGGGTGGGTGGAGGGAAGCATTTCAGGTAGAGGGAACAGCCAGTGCAAAGGCTCTGAAATACAGGCATGCTTGGTGAGTTTGAAGAGCAACAAGCAGGTATTGTGGCTAGAGTAGGTGAGCAAGGGGGGAGAGCTCCTTGATCAGAGGAGAAGCTGAAAGGTAAGAATAGTGACCAACTACTCTGGACCTCAGATTCTTCCTCTGTAAAAGGGAGCAAGAGCAGATGCTCCAAAACTAATCATATTCTCAAATATAATGGGAAGCATTTAATTATGCTCCATACTTTAGTATATAAAAATGTTCTCCTCCCAACAGCTCCAGTAAGCCTGGGAGATAACAAGAACTCATTAAGTCTTTGGCGAATGAATGAATTAGTGATGAAGGGTGAATCTGTATCTATATCTATATCTATATCTATATCTATATCTATATCTATGTCTATGACTGGGACATTGTGCTGTACATCAGAAATTGACAAATTTTAACTGACTAATACTTCAATTAAAAAAAAAGCAAAAAAAAAAAAAAAAAGAACCGTATAGAGTACAAGCCACCCCAACACAGGTCCAGGAACGTAGGCTGAGACCCTTAGTGAAGTTCCATGCACATTTCCTCTTCATGTGGCTCCATGTATCCAACCTCTACATCCCCCTTCTTTCCCACACAGACTATTTACATCACTCTTCATCCTCCTCTAACTTGTTCTCATCCAACCCTTTGATGATGTAAACATGAGATAAACAGATTTCCCAGGTAGGACTTTTCAACAGAGAAGGACCTACCATTTCTGAGGAGACAAGACCAAGCTATGATTGCACTGAACATATTTCTCTACTTATGACTGTTTCCTATCTATACCTTCTGGCTCTATCCTGGGAAAATCATTGGCTTTCAGGGTTTTTTTTTTTTACTATGACTGGTTTAAATAGGTCTATTTGCTTCTTATTTACATCTGTGTTGATTTTAGGATTTATGATCTAAAGGAATTATGCCAACCACTGAGGTCATTAAACACTGTATGTCAAAAAATTAATGATTTCATATATTGCACTATTATTTTATTTACCACTAAGAAAGGAAAAAGATTGTTGCTAAATAAACTAGGGTGCAATGCTTTCTTAACATTTAGCATTTGTCTGCTGCTTTGCAGGAAAATATGTATTTTTGGTCACTCCTCCAAAGACAAAAATTTGCTTCTGTAGTATTAGATATGCAGTCCACTGCTGTTCTGTGCCTTTCTGTGAACACATTGACTTTAGTTTCAATGCCAAATCATAGAGTAATCTTTCCAAAGACATTTGAAAGGCAATTAAACTCAACATCCATAGTAACAACCATGCACACAGTTCAACTGAAGTGATAACATCATTAGGGACTGCACAGAAAGAGACAATGGCATATCGATGTTGACTTGGTGATGTAATTGTAAGAATCCATGGATTATAAAACAGGTTGTGATTTCAGAGATACTAAAATGCAAAGAAAGAGTGTCTTAGAGTAAACAAAATGAGTGAGAAACTTAAAAATCCTATTTTTCCCCCTCCTTACAGAGAGCAGATGGAAAGTTGCATCACCTAGGACTCAAAGTGAGCTATGATTCTCTGCAGAAGGCGATGAGTTCATTTTGCTCGTTGGATATGTTTGACCATCAGAGAGGACCACTAGCATTCTTCTGGGTGAGAGAGAGTTTAGGTTTCAAGGGAAATGGCTGTGATGCTGGCGTCTGGGAACTGGGGCTGTCAGTTGTGCTTTTGGGCAGATAAAATCTTTGAATTCTCTTGGGTATTATGTAGGGGTGGCAGCCCTAAAATATCCGCTTAATTGGTCCTAGTCTGCCCTCTGGGTGTGTATGGGATAAATTGAATTCCTCACGTCCATACACTCTGAAATGCAGTCAGATCACTGTTCATCCTTCCTTTGTTTCTCACTTTCTTTAACCATTTCTCAAAGCTTCTCAAGGCTTGCAATGAACTTTAACATTATTCAGAGTATTACACATGCGTTTTGCCTTGGTCTGAATGTTTGTGTTTTTCCCACTGCCCCCCACCCCCAATTCATATGTTGAAACCTAGAACTCAAACTGATGGAACAAGGAGGTGGTGTTTTGGGGAGGTGATTAGGTCACAAGGGCAGAGCCCCCAAGAATGGGATTAGTGCCTTTATAAAAGAGGCTCCAGAGAATTCCCTCACCCCTTCCACCATGTAGGGACACTGAGAGAGACTGGTAGTCTGCAACCCAGTAGACGGCCCTTACTAGAATGTGAGCATGCTGACATGTTGATCTTGGACTTCCCAGCCTGAAGAACTGTGAGAAGTAAATTTCTGTAATTTAAAAGCTATACAGTCTGGTATTTTGTTATAGCACCTGAACTGACTGAGACACATTTATTATTTGAAGAATAATAATGCAGTAGCTACCGTTTTCAGAGCGCTGCTGTAGCTGCCGTTGTGCTAAACATTCTATTTATTTTACTGGGTGTTTTTTTGCTGATGATGGCCCACTGAAGGAGGTATAATTATTGTCGCAATTTAATAAGACACAAACTGAAGCTTAGAGAGGATTAGTAACTTTCCCAAGGCCATACAACTAGAGAAGTGGGTCTGAGTTTTAAAACCAAATCTCCTCGTAATTAATAGCAATTTTTATAAGTTCTGCATAAGAAAATTATGAAAGTGATATAATAAAAATAGATCCAAATGAGCAGAAACTCGTCTTTCAAATCGGTGCCCTAATGACATGGTGTGCTTATTCTAATGGTTCTTCTGTTATTTAGGATACTTTTGGAACCCCCGGTTGGAACTGCCTTCAGAACCTGTGTTCTGAATAACCTATTCAAAATGATAATCGCTATCCATCCTTTGAGGGCAGATATGACTATTGCAAGGACCCTAACGAGGCAGGTCTGCTGACCAAGCTGTAGGATGACTATGATCAATGGGCAGATACAGTTTTTAGTCATAAAGAAATGACCACAGTTTTCTTGAGTTGGTTGTAAAATAAGCAGAGACATCCTCAAGATACATATGATCTTCCTTGGATCATGTGGATTTGAGGGATAAAGACTTATGGAAATGCAACTACCAGAGGCTAAAAAACAGTCAGAACCCACAGTGCCTTTATAATGTTAGCAATCTGAGTTGCACTTACATTACATGGGTACATATTAGGGGCCCCCGAAGTGGTTGCTCGAGGCGATATATGGCTGCTGGAAGTATTCGGTGTGATCCGTTTATTGCACCCACACAGCAATGTCAACAGGCTACGTAATGGGGCAGATTTTGGGCTTGGTGACTGTATAAGCAATTTAGTCCCAGTTGTCCTCTATCCACCCACTCAGGGTGTTTATGAGGGTGTCATGCCCTTTGAAGGCATTTGGGCTTTTGATTCCTAGTGTTCATACTCTTTTGTCTAAAGGAACTTTGAACAGTAAGCATTACTCTGCTCAAAAAAGAAAGCTTAGGGTATTTCATGTCCCAGTTTCAACACCTCTTAAAGCTACTCGCAGCTAAAGATAATTCTTTCTTTTTCTGAATTTTCATAAAATGTCACTTGGCACTCCCAATCAGCTCTCTTCTGTCACAGCTCTTTGGAAAAAGTTCACATCTCATTTTAGAGGGAATGTCCTTTATCAGCAGAGGTGCTCCTGTGGAAATGAGGCTGGGGCTCTCTGAAGAGATCCACTTACTTTTTGAAACAGCGGAAAATAGTGCCATGTGTTTGGATCTTTTACTTTACACTTTCTCTTTGCTCCTTTGCCAGCTCTGGTTGCCTTGATTCAGAAATCAGTCTCGCGTTCTGACGCTTTTTCTTGATTCTGCCTAGTTTTGATGAGTCTCTTACTCACAGCCAGATTCTCAATGTTAACCTGCCTGGGTTGATGTTGGCTCCACTCATTCTGGGCTTTGGTGACCCCGCTCTGCTTCTCAGTATATGTTTCTGAGCTGTGTCCACTGCTTATCCTGGGGCTGCTACCCAAATGGAACCATACGGAGGAACCGGGACAAAACTGAGGACGGGAGTCCATGGAGCATCAGCTTTCGTATGTAGGCCCCTAGTACTAATACTCTTCTTCATGTAGGCAGATCCTTGATGAAAATTTGTTAATGGAATAAATTCAAAGCAAAGCCGTTATAGAGGCATTTCATGATATGGAAAGGGAAGTATTATTCAATGAATATTGAATATGCTTCCTCTTTACAAGGGGCATCCTGGTAGGTGCTGAGAATTCAAAGATAAGAAGGTAAGGAATCTGTGCTGTACTGAAAGTCTAGAGTTGGGAAAGTCTGGGTGTTCCACTTGGACAGAGATGATAGGGAATATATTAAATTATAGTCTTAATCTTGGGTCCAGTTTCAAAAAATCTTGAATATGTCAGAGGGATTACAATTTCTGGGCTAGAAAAATTCTTGAGAACAATTGGAAAACTTATCTCTTGGGTCTTGATGCCGGGCGGCAGAAAGATGGCATCTGAGGGAAGACGGGGAGCCAGGTGGCAGATCTGGCCAAGGATAAATGTCAAACCTGTATGAGGTGTGAGCATGTTTCCCAGAGCTGCTCATTCTATCCTTTGGTTAAATTTTTCTGAGATACTGGCTAGTAAAGATTTTTTTCATACGGGAATTAAAAAAAAAAAAAAACTCCATGGCCTCCTGGAGATCAGGCTCTTTTATTGGCATTGCATGACTTTTAAAATAATGAAATCTGTTGTAATATGCCACTGAAGTTCTAATTTTTTTTTTGAAACAGGGCCCCAACTTTACCAGTAAATTTGAGCTTTTACTTAACGTCACAGATGGTGTGGTCAACATTTTTTGATTATGAAGCAAGCTCGAAAAAATAGCACAACCGAAGTCATCTTCCTCTCTATAAACTGTAAGTTATCTTTCACAGCATCTCATTGGAGAGGCGACCTTGAGGGCTAAAGTAAGTAGGTTATCCTCTCATCTAACCAACACGAGTAACTCTCTGGCTGCCGTGAGTGACACGAGCCCAGAGTAGGGTGAAGGGAAATGCGGGTGAACTGCATTATGAGGTCTGGGTTGCTGTTTGTCACTGTGTCTCTTGCCATTGCCAAGCTCCAGCAATCTTCCTTCGCCCAAAGCTGTTACCCAAGAGGAACACTGTCCCAAGCTGTTGATACCCTCTATGTCAAGGCAACATGGCTCAAAGCAACAATTCCAGTAAGTACTAGGCTTTGCTTACAATGATGACCTAAGGGATATTTGAAATTCTGGATAAAACTCATTTGTCTTTGTTTTACTGTAGGAAGACCGCATAAAAAATATACGATTATTAAAAAAGAAAACAAAAAAGCTATTTATGGTAAGCCAGAAGGTCTTTTTCTTCTTCACATTTCTATGTTGGATGCTTTTTTCCTTGCATTTTAACTTTTCCAGATGGTCATGAAGTAAGAATCAGGGGGATGATTCAGTGTCATTTTACAAAAGCTACTCATGGTTTACCTTATGCAATTTATTATATCTTATTTATAGAAAAACTGCAGATTCCAAGAACAGCTTCTGTCTTTCTTCATGGAAGATGTTTTTGGTCAACTCCAGTTACAAGTTTGCAAGGAAATAGACTTTGTGGAAGATTTTCACAGCCTTAGGCAGAAATTGAGCCGCTGTGTAAGTATGTACAGCAAATATGGTGAGTTTGATCCCAGAATTCTATCTAGAAAACAGTATGTAGGAAGTTGTCTTCGCCCCAAAGGGTGAGTAAAGGGGCTTTTGAGTTGCTGGCTTACAGTTCGAATGGAGAGTCCATTACCAACATAATGGCATCAAATAACCCTGCATAACTTGTAAGGCCACTATGAATTATTTCTTAAGGAATGGCACATAAAACATATTGAAGAGAGCTAAAATTACATGGAATGCTCCTCAAGTTAATATTTAGTTTTCCAAATTATTCTCTCTTTATGTGATTCCTAAGTCATTCATTCATTCATTCAACAAATATTTCTTAAGCACCAACTATGTGCCAAGCACCGTTTCAGGATATTATTGTTTTTCTAGATCCTAGAAAATATCTAGGATCTTTTCCTTCCTTCCTTCCTTCCTTCCTTCCTTCCTTCCTTCCTTCCTTCCTTCCTTCCTTCTTTTCTTCCTTCCTTCTTCCCTTTTCTTCCCTTCCTTCTCTTCTTTTCTTCTTCTTTCTTTCTTTCCTTCTTTCTTTCTTCCTCCCTTTCACCGCTCTCTCCCTCTCTCTCTCCTTTCTTGCTTTTCTTTCTTCCTTTCTGTTCTTTCTTTCTCTCCCCTCTGCTCTCTTTCTTTCCTATATTGATAAGAGCCTTTAGATTTACTTTTTCTTATTTACTTACATCAGTTTTTAGAGTTGTACCCCTTATAAGGCAAAGTCTCAGTCAAAACTTAAAAAAATGTGTCTTTAGTACCTAAATTATTTGATGCTGGAGTATGGTCACTGTCACCTTAAACAATGGGGAATTAATTAGGAAGGTAAAAGTGACCACATTGCCATGAAAACATCAAGTGCAGAAAAACAAATCAAAGCAAAACACCCAAGCCAGGATCTGTGCTGTGTTAGTTGGCTTGCCTTAGTGGAGAGTGCTGAATCTTTTCTGTGACATAGTTTGGGCTCCGCGGAATGCTTTCTCCAGCCTCCTGCAGTTGTACCTGCATGTGGAGCAAAGTGGAATAGTATTGATTATTACGGCCCTTGGGTGGCCAGAAGGAAGTGAGCTTTCTACCCTTGGGCATCAGGGTCATGGAGACTTAAATGCTGGAGAGTTGGAAGTGGATTTTTATTTTTTAATTTAGGACATCTTTTTCTTGTGGTTCACCAAAGTGCTTGGTATGCAAATTCCAGCCTGTAGTGCAAAGGCATTTTTATGAGGATGAGCTGGTCAGTTAGGTTAAAAAAAAATTCAGCAAGTTTATGTTCTCTTTGGTTAGTTTGCGTTTAAGTCACAACCTTGTTTGGGACTTGGGTTGCTTAGTTTTCCATAAACTCTCATATTCAGTTAAAATAACAACAAGGCTAAAGATTTCAAGCTGGTACCTCTTTGCAGAACACAAAGAGAATGCTCTGGGCCAGTTCCTTTGCCTGAAATAATGTAAAGGTCATCACTAATCTTTGGTTTATTCTATACTTAACTTATAAAATCATCTTATTAAGGCAGTGAATAGTATAGTCTTTTAAATTTAAATTGAACGATTATATAATTTTATATGTCACTTCACTACCAACTGACTAGGTCATTATCACCCCCAGTGAGAGTTTTCACCGGACTTGAAGAGGAGACTAGTCCACTGAAGAACTCGATATCGGGGTAAATAATGAGACCCACAGCAGTCATTCTAGGCTGGAGAGGAGTCATCCAGACGAACAGTGAGCTGTTCTTGTTTCCTTATTTGGAGACGGGGATCCTCTTAAGAGCCTCCCGCCTTTTTTTTTTTTTAAAGCACCTTCTGTTTCTCTTTTTGCTGGCATCCTTGGTTCCTCGGTGTAGGCACTGTCCCTTGCACTAGCTGCCTGATTTAATGTAATGTTATTCTAAATGAAGTTCGCTCATGATGGTGGGGCACTAGAAATCCTTGTCTGAGACAAGACAGTGTATCTGGACACCTGGAACCCCCAAAAGCCACGTCTGTTTTTACCATTGATTTGGTTTCTTCAGCTCAAACAGCTGGAGAACAACATTAATAGTTATAACCCAAACCAAGCAATGTTCTAGATGAAAAATTTAGATAACAGAGAGCTAACTGAGAACTCTGGTTTTCCTTGATTTGTTCTGAGGAGAAGTTTATTTGCTAAAGGGACCTTAATCTGTCAAGAGATGCTTCTTTCAGGGACGTGGGCCACAGCAGGATGGGAGCAGTGTGCTGCTTCGCAAGTTGGTTGTGGAGGCTTTTCAAAGTGGCTGGCTCCCCCTTATGGCCAAATACAAACATGGCACCCGGTCAACCGCACGGAGCTCAACGAACTCCCGGCTTCCTATCTTATATTCTCCCACCCCAAGCCGACCTTTGTTAGCTTGACCACAATAACTGCAAGGGATCCTGGGAAATGTAGTCTAGCTTACGGCTAGGAAGAAGAGGAAATAAATCCTTGCCAACAATTAGCAGTCTCTGCCATAATTATTCAATAATTTTTCATTAATATATTATTTATGCCAGGGCCATGCTTAGCTTATAGAGTAACTTTGTGCAAAGTGGAAAAAGGGTATAGCCTTGTGTGAGCATGTTACAGTGAACAGGACACTTTCTTAAACTGGGCACTCATGTGTAGGGTGTAAGTGCTCAGTGGTACAGAATGGTTCATGATTGTGGTCAATGATTATTTTCTTGTGAATATATTTTTCTCACGAGTAAGAAGGGAACTGAAACAGACAAAAAAATGGTGTTATAACGACAAAATGAAAACCCAATCAATTGAATCTAAATGGCTAAAAGAAACAAGTAAATTTTGAAAATCGATTTTTTGCAAATTGGCTTACAGCAGTTTGGCTTAATTATGTATTTTCCAGGTCCTGTGTTAGGTGCTAGGGTAAGAAAGGCCAGTATGATTTGGTCCCTGCTCTCCAGAGCTTATACTCTTTGGGAGAGAGAGATGTGAACAAAGAAGTTTAGTGAGCCATGAATGTGGTATGTGCTCAAGCTGAGTTTTCTGTCTGACAAAGTCATTGTGAAAGTACAAAGGAAAAAGTAATTTGTACCTGCTCTGGGACTTGGGGTGTATGTGGGGAGAGACTCAAAAGAGTGTTATTAAAAGATGTGATGATTTAGTTTAATTTCCCAGGAATTAAAGGGCAGGAATGGCAAGGGGAGGAACTTGAATAAAATCTTGATGGTGTAAAACAACATACAATTTTCAGGAAATTGCAAGTAACTGAGTGTATGTGTATGAGTGTATGAATGCATGAGTATGAACGTGGCTTGGGGACAGTGAAAGGAGACTGATCGTTTAGACCTTGGCCAGGAGATGCTGATAGGGGCCAGGTTAAGAAAGGCATGATAAAACTGGCTAAGGAATTTGAATTGTATACTCAAGAAAGTGGAAAGCTACTGAAAGGCATGATATGATTAAATACTCTTTTTTAGAAAGACCTCTTTAATGAATGGAGGGGGTGGAGGTTGGGGGTGAGACTCAGGCAATGAAACAAGGAAAAGAGCATTGCAATAATGTGCCTGGACTAAAGAGTGCACACTAGTGCCATCAGGAAGGGCTAGGAGAGTCTGAGGAAGGGAATGGATTGGGAGGAGCCTACGGTTTCTACCCAGGAAGCTGGTGAGGTGGTGGTGTCATTCACTATTAGCACAGAAGTAGAGAGCTTGGAGAAAGTTAATAAAGTGCTTTAGACCTGCTAAAAGTTGGAGGAGTCCCATGTATAATTGCAATCGTAAGAGCAGTGTGTGTGTTCTCCACATATGTGCTCTGTATTTTTAATATTTAGGGTATATTTATGAATAGATTTACTGAGATATAATTAACATGACTGAATGTATTTCAAGTCTGTAATTTGGTAGTTTTGACATATGTATACACTTACGAAACCACCACCAAAATAGTGAGCTTTTCCATCACCCCCAAAAGTTTCTTTGTGCGGCTTTGTAATCCCCTCCTTTCCTGCCCTGACCCTCTGTCTCCAGGGTACCACCAGTCAGCTCTCTGTCACTGTAGATTTGTTTGCCTTTCCTAGAACTTAACGTAAATGGTATTACAGATGATCCCTAACTTACAATGGTATGATTTCTTTCTTTCTTTCTTTCTTTCTTTCTTTCTTTCTTTCTTTCTTTCTTTCTTTCTTTCTTTCTTTCTTTCTTTCTTTCTTTCTTTCCTTCCTTCTTTCTTTCTTTTGCTTTACAGTGGTGTGAAAGCTATATGTATTCTACTGAGAAATCGTTCTTCAAATTTTGAATTTTGATTTTTTTTCCTGGGCTACTGATACCATGCTGTGAGCCTCTCCTGTGATGTGGGGTAGCAGCAGAAGCCACAGCGATCATGAGGGTGAACATGATACACTTACAACCATCCTTACCCAGACAGCCATTCTGTTTTTCACTTTAAGCACAGTAGTCAGTAAATTATATGAGATATTCTACTTTTTATTATAAAATAGGCTTGTGGTGGAACAAACGCCCCCAAATGGCTGCCACCAGCATCTATGGCCCTAAGGGTGTCACAGTTGCCTCCTGCTTCTCTGCGAGACTCTCCAAGGTCAGCACGTGGGTCCTATCAGTCTCTTTTCAAATGACTGCCTCTGTTCAGGGATTTGGCGCATGTGAGATTTTGTGTGCTTTGAGAGTGAGTCTCTGTTTCCTACAGCCCTTTGGCTCTCTTGTCTAGATCTATTAATTCATGAGACATTGCAAAATGATGCTTTTAAAATTCTATTATACCTTTTAATTTATAAGTGAGGGTAATTCTATAAAGAGAACCTACCCCTTACTAACTATTTGGCTGTCCTGAGGGATTTGTCATACAAGAAAGGCAGAATAAATATGGACTTCTTTTTCTTTATTTACCAGTTTTCAATATAAGATTGATATTCTAACATTCTTCCAAGATGATCAATGAGTTGTTATTTTTTCTTAGTTTCATTATTAATTCATGAACTTGGATTATTTTTCATTTTTGAGAAGTCTTTCTGATTTCTAGAAGCTACCTGTCTTTGGGGTTTCTTTATAAGTCCACTGAGACTGGCATCTTCTTGAGCCACTCTTAAGATATAGCACCACGATAATTTTCATGATGGATCCCAAGGTCTGGAATCCCAGTACTACTATATTTGAATATCATCTTATTGTTTCTGAGAACATTCTAGGAATTTTGCAGCACTTACTAAAATATTATATATTTTAATTAGTCTGATTTGGGTAATTCAGGTGGTATAATTGTTTAGAGAAAACACATTATGGGTAACATAAATACCTTTATTTTTAATCTTTGTCATCCATGGTATTTACCTAAATGGTATCTGGGAAGTTGGTGTATGTAGGAAGACATTTTTAAGATTCTTATAGAACTCAAATACTCTCAGACTTGAAAGGGAACTTAATAGTTGCTTAGTTGAATTCATAAAAGAATTTGCTTAATTGCTAGTGATCAAAGTTGAAGCTGAAAAATAATTACGTTAGTTTTCAAGATTTCATCATCTACTTTAATTAACATTTTGAGAGGCTGAATTGTAATTGGCAATTAGAGAACTCCATTTCTTTATATTCATTGTGTGTAATTAATTTTAAAATCTGATAAGTCTTGGCAAATAGAATATTTGTGTCTCCATTTCTTGTAGTGTGTTTGGTAAGTAATTTGTATCATCAGTTATAAATATCTTATCAAGTTATGAAGCATTGCCAATTATTTATCCGTGTAATTCTGAATATTTTTAAAATTGCAATTGATTGAACTGATAAAAACAGAAGTAGGAAGTGAGATCAACCCTGTTTTATTCTTTCATTAAGTAAAAAGTCCTAAAACTGTCTTCAGCAATATCAATAATCTCATTTTGTGGTTGTTGGAAGAATTAAATAAGATCATATATCAAAATGCCTAGCATGTATTAGTTCTGCCAGATTGTTAGGGTCTTTCCTTATTGCTTCCCATACACAGAACACTGATTTTCTTCCAATTACATTTCCTCAATAGTTTCCAAAGGTGTGGTTCTCCTAAACAATCAAACAGTTTTTAGTGCCTAGTGTTAATGTTAACTTGCATAATGGTGTATAATTTATAGTAGTACTTTAAATGAAAGATAAAGAGATCATTTATAAGTCACTGGTTTTAATCGTGGTAAATATATTTTCTTATTATATTATAGAATCTCTTTGCCAACAAATTCATTCCTTGGTTAATGATATATAACTTTCCTGTCAAAATTATGGGGCATAGCTCTATCACTTCATGTGCTAAATTGCATGGATTCATTCTTTTTTTAAGTTGAGATATAATTGACATATAACATTATATTAGTTTCAGGTGTACAACACAATGATTCGACATTTGTATCAGCTGAGGAATAATCACCACAATAAGCCTAGTTAATGTCCATTCATGGGCTCTTCCTGATGAATGTTAATTATGCTGAAAATTTTAAAAAATCTGCAATAAAGTTATGCTACCCTAGTCCTAGTACCTGTTTATATTTAAGGTGTTTAGAAACTTTCTAGTTTTTTTCTATGATTGGAACATGGAAAAATATTTCGTGAGAGTTTAAAATTATTGCAGGTAGGTGAGATTCTATATTCTTATCTATATCAGATGATTCTGTTAGTTACTGAGCGTATAGAAATAAGGTAATGCTTTGTAAACGCCTGTGATATATATTTACTCAGATATTGAGTATCTTTAATTATTTTAAAAATTGAATGTCTAATTCTAAATTTGGTTTTGAGGAAAAACACTGACTAATAGCTTAGTCATTCTTTTCTGTCAGATAACCTGCTTGGTTACAAATAGAGTCATGCTTTCTTTCAATAACTTTAACTTCCAAATTTTACTTCCAAGTTTCCTATAAACTTTTAGGGCCTCAGTAACTTTGTTTTATGTTAATGTCCTAGTGTCCATACTTTTGCTAAACTGACCTTTAGTTTTTAAACATCAAGTTTCAAAACAGGCTACTCTGATATAATTTTCTCAGCTGCTATTTTAAATGCAGCTCAGATAATATTTGTAAGACCTCACAGGAAGAACTGCAAAAAGTTAATAAGATTTGCTGGAAACTCTACATCTGCTGTCATAAAAGAAAATTAAATTAATTTACTCTTTAATCTGATTCCTTATCTATTATTTGCTATTTGTGGGGAGGAAATTTTCAGGAAACCAAGACCATGGCCAGTGTAGGAACTATCTTAACTATTAAGGTCAATTAAAACCAAAACCGAAAACCCCAAACAAAACAAGAAAAGATGGTTACAACCCTGTCTGAAGTTGTGTGCTGAGGTAAATAAAATGTCTAAGATCTTACGTACGGTTTTACACTCCCCCAGAGGTTGTGAGAATACTGTATATGCTCATAAAGGCTATAGTATAATAAATACTCTTTTTGTAGAAAGGAGCTGCGGTCGTTATTTGTGAGAATTCAGGGTGACGGACTGAGCCATGTGTAGCTGTCCACTCACTGACCTACGTATCGCATTTCCACAGAATTATCCGTGGAGGGGGATTACCCATTTTTGCTTTAGCTATAATACACACTGCAAATTTGTATGATTTTTCAAACACGTGAGGATATCGGGGACACAAATTCAAGGATTGTATCTGTTTTTTCATCCACTTGTTTCAAACAGTACTCACTAATGCCTAGAATATACCTCAAACTATTATCAAACCAGTGGGCTTTGTGAACTCCAAAGCCACAAGCTGATGCCTGCATTCTATCCATTGATTCATTCATTTAACTAATGTTTCCTGAGTATCTGTATTGCCAAACACTATTCCAGATGCTGGGGATTCAACACAGATTGTCAGATAATATCTCGTCCTGTACAGAGCCCCTTGAGAGTGCTTTCAGCCAGTTGCAGAGACTCCCAGATTGGGGTAGGTGCTGTGTGTGAGCAAACCAGAGGGAACTGAGAGCTGGAGGGTGGGGGCCAGACCATAGATAACTGAGTCTGGGGATTTCAGCTGAGACCAGAAGGGTGTTTAAATCACCTCTGCTCTCTCTGGCCTTGGAACATTGTGCTTTCTCTACCTACTCATCTCTTCTCCCGGCTCCTTCTACTCCATCTGTCTCACCCTTCAAGATGCAACTCGCTTGTTTTTTCCTTCTGGAAGCCTTCTGGTATCCCACAGTTGGATCGCCTCCGCTCTGTCCCCAGAGCAGCTTTTTTTTTTTTTTTAACTTACAGTATTTATCACATAGTATTGTAATTTTACTTCACTGTCTGTCTCAGTAGATTGTAAGATATTGCTTGTGCCCCAAGGTGATTTTCAGCCTGTAGGGTACTTCATAAATTAAATAAATCAATGCTATGCGGGCAGAGACATGATTGTATGCCTAGCCCATAGTAAGTATGCAATAAAAATGTATTACCTTAATGATGAATGATTAGGTTTTTGCCTTGTGTTTGTTATTTTGTGATTATCTCACATGGGATTTTTTTTTTTTGAACCAGTCCCTGTTATTCCAGCCCTACTGATAAATTGCCTCTAGTCTAGATCATATCTGCCTTGGTTGAGTTTGTCAAATTACTCAGCTTTTCATGTAATAAAACTGCTGACCTTTTGTTGTGCATTCTGCTTTCAGCAAATGCAAACTATACGCTGAAATATAAGGTAAAGGACATCATCTTTTTATAAATTCCTCCTTCCAAGCAAAGCAATCTGAATGATGGAAGTAAAATCAAGCTGTTCTGTTGGGTCTGTGGACATATTTACAACAGTTAGGAAAATGAAAACCTTGGACATCAGATCTTTACGAGAGGTCATTGATAGTAAACGGAACTCAAGTGGCCAGAAAGCATCCTGTGAACCAGCATAGCTCCCGTGGCAACAGTGGAATCATAAAGTGATTTTTTGTTTGTTTTGGGCTTTTTTTGGTCAAACTTCGTTTTTCTCTTTTTCTACTCTCCTTGCTATCCTTGGGGTAGTGTGTGCCTCAGATGGGGTGAAGTCAGCCTTTCTTGTACTTCTCTCCCTGCTGTGGGATGCCCTGCAGATCCAAGTTCTCTGGGCAGGGGACCTAAGTCAACAGGAATGCTTGAATGTAAAGTCCAGTATTGGCTTGGCTTCTTTGGTCTCCTGTGTTCAGTGTTAAGTCTTTAAATCTCCACATGTGCCCATTTGATATTGTGCCCTATGACTTGCTTCTTCTGTGCTTTGCGATTCATCTTCGCATCTAAGAACTACAATAGGGTGTATTGGAATTAGCAAGTGTTGATTCTCTTTATGAAGTCTTCCTTTTTCCAGTTGCAAGAGTTGGCTGAAGTACTTTTATATTAGATCATTTCAGACTAGAAGGATTTAGCGTCTAATCAAACTCTCCATTTATAGACTAATGAGCAGACGTCTCTAAATTCTTTTCATAGCCACTCTCTTGGCTGGAACTAGACTTGGTATTTCTAGAATTTGCTTTTGCAGTTCCAATCTGAAAAGCAAGTGAACAAAGGAAACAAAACACACACACACACACACACACACACACAGAGGATTTCTTGTTTTGTTTATTACCACATTGCCCATTTTCAGGTTGAAATCTCTCTCTCTCCGTCTCTCTCTGCCAATCCGCTTAGTCTTTTAGAGCCATTTCCAAATTTCCCTGGGTAGAACATAGAGCAGAGATCTTTAAGCTAATGTCTCTTTGGAATTGGCTTTTGAAGGTTTTCAACAAGAGAATGGCTTTACTGGAATATCTTTTCCACATTATGCTGGGTTTTTTCCTTCAGTGTAATTTACTGATTTTAAAAATGTACTCTGGAGTCCGACTACTTGGGTTCAGATCTCAGCTTTTCCACTTACTGTGTGAACATAGAATATTAACTTCTGTGCTTCAGTTTCCTAATCTGTAAGATGAAGACAATAATGGTACCTACCTCATAAGGTTGTTGTGAGGACTGAATGGGTTAGTAACAGATTAGTGTCTCATGCATAATATTAACTTGATATATATTGACTATTATTATTTGTACCTAACAATCTTCTCAGTATTTCTCTCTTCATATGAAGGGGAATTGGAGTAAAGAGGAAACTCCTGGACCTGCTGAATTTTTATCTTGTAGTATTGACCTTGTATTTTGCTGATTTTCCTCTCCACCACAATTTTATTTACTAATTCTGTTTTGCTCATTATGATGTCTTTAGTGCCTAGCACACCACCTGACATATAGGAGGCACTTCATGAATGCGTGTTTAATGAAGGAGAGAATTCTTTCTGGCCGTATGCTCCGACATTGGCTACAATTGTGCAGGGTCTGTCACGCATTGTTTTGGCCTCACAGGCTCTGGTCTGGGGTGAAATGTCCCCTGAATTCAGGGCTCTTATCATGGGGAGGTCCAACCCTTGTGTATGAGAATCCTGGAGACCACACCTTCACCCGAACATTCTGTGCCTGCAGCTCCTCGGTGCCTCATCACGAAAGCCCTTGCACAAGAAAAATCTTTTCCCACACAACGTCTGACATGAAGGTGGAGTCCCCATTTGGGCAGAGTCATGACAACACCTCCACCTTTAAGCCCCTGAAACAGTATTCAGGAGATAACTGTCAAAGCATTTCAGTTATTTTCTCTTGATAAGAGAGGGAGCCTGAATGTTGCCCCTCCCCCCGCCCCTCTTCTCTCTGTGTTCTGGACTAAAGGGACCTGTTGGTTGATATTGGCAATGTTCTATTTGTTTGAATAGGTGTTGTCATTTAGTCGCTTTCATTTCTCAAGTTTTAATTACATGTTGTCTTTAATGATGTGCTGACACTATTTCATCACCAGGACAGACGACCTGGGACATCCTGGGCAATTTACTTAACCCCTTGGCCTTGGTTTCCTTTTATGCAAATTGAGAAGAATTGAACTGTACAGTTTCTTTGGTTTATTCCAGTACCAAGCTTTTATAAGTAAAAACTAAGTAGATAAATTAGACATTTTCATCTTTTTCTTCCCTTCTCTTTTCTCTAATTAGTGTAGGAATTTATGGGAGAATAGAGGATGACGTAGAACTTCCTCCGACTTGACTCCTAAGTGATTCCTGTGCTCAGATAGGGTTTTGAAAATTCACCTTCTCAAAAGAGACTGGCAGTTTCCCGGCCAGGCTACAAGTTGTCTTCCCCAGTCATTACATTGCTTCTCTTCCTAATTTAGAAATAAATATTAATTTCCTGGTGATTTCTTCTGGCAATTGACACCTGAATATTATACTGTGCAGGTACATACCAGCCAGGGTGATTTTTCAAAAAGCAATTTTTTTTTGGCATTCATACATTTCTCATGCTTTCCACATCCCTCTTGTTCTGTTGCTCCAGCCATGCTGTCTTTCTTTCAGTTCCAGGAAGTGCTGTTTCCTGCCTCAGGACCTTTGCATACCTTTTGCTCTACCTGAGTTATTCTCTCCTGGGCATCTTCCCTAAACCTCTCTTTTCCTTCTTCACTTCCTCATACAGCTGGCTTCTTCTCCTTTTTCAGATCTTAGTTTAAATACCATTCCTCACAAGAACCCTCCTTGACCACCCAATTGAAAGGAGGTCATTTCTGTGAATCCCTATCATAGAGTCTTGTGCATTACAGATACAGCTTTAATTATAATTTGGAAATTTTAATTTTTTATTTGTTTTCTTCTTTATCATCTACCTTCCCCATGAAACTATTTATTTGCCAGGGCATGTCTGCCTAGCACATTATACCTGCTCAATACAGGTTGGATGAGTGGATGGAAGAGTTTTATTATTACTTCCTCAACAATGTTATTTGTATTTACTGCTGATTTCTTAGATTTCCTGTGTTTCATCAGCTAGAGAGATGAAATCCATTACCAGGTTGAAAAGAACATTTTATGAGGTAAGTATTCCAATTTCTTGTTTTTGAATACTTTGTTTTCTAAAGTATTTCATATCTAATAATTCTACTTTGTCAGCAGATTGGAAACAAAGGAATCTACAAAGCCATCAGTGAGCTGGATATTCTTCTTTCCTGGATTAAACAATTCCTGGAAAGCATTAAGTAATGCAAGAAGCCAAGTGGATTGATTTGATTATTATTTTGAAATACAGTGAGAACTGCCAGAAATCAATTTATAGCAGTGTACTTAAAAAAAATGTGTACGTGGTACTGACAGCAAGTTAGATGATTCAGAACAGATTAATTCAACGTAATACAATTTTGGAGATAAGTAAATTGTCACTAATAAGCACATTCTCTGTATTTTCAAAGAATGCTTTCATCCCGAACATATTTTGTCATTCCCAAGTGCATTGCATAAATTTAACCTAAAGATGTACAACCAGAATTAAATCACATATTTGTGGATAGAAAATGATAGATTTCTGGGATAATAATATAATGTTATTGAGATTTACATAGACACAATGTGTATGATTATTGTCTACTTGAGGGCTTGATGGTTATTAATTATGCCCAGTGTGAACTTAACCCCTAACAGATTTTGATTTTAATGAAGTAAACTGTGTTTCTTTCTCCTGGATGTTCTTTCTAGGATAGCATGCTAGAATTTCATTGAATATAAGGAAATAAGCAGATCAGATCAAATAGGACACACATATAAACCAACTGCTTGGAATGGCTGACTAGGAATGCCTTTGACAGATAACCTCAAGCTACCCAGACTATAAGTAACTAAGTTAAAATGATGCTGAAGCTGGATTATGCTCCTTCTGCGTGTCACACAATGAAGAAAGTTGGTAGAGGTGAAATAAAAGTCCGAATGCAGCTCAGATTCCACCACAGGAAACTTTCCATGACATCTAAAAACCTTACTCACACAGCTATCACTTCAGCTGAAGGAGTAATATGGGCTGACTGATGTTTTGTACCTAATGGACCCTGTTTCAGCATACTAGGCCTGGGTGGTTTCAGACAGCAATTTGTGTGATGGCCAGTTTGCCTCCACAAAGCGTCCATTGTGCCCCTGCCCACATAGGCAACACCAGGACTTGGGGTTTGGGAGATGAATAAGCAGGGCTTCCCTACTCAGGCTTTCATGGATTTTGTCCTCTGCACCTCTTCTCTTCCTTGCTTTTCCACCATCAGTTTCTTCTTTCCAACCACAAGGTCACTAGTCTCTTCACTTGGGACAGCCTCTTTTGATTTATCTCATATTTCAAAATTACATCTTTGTTCCCTGCCCCTTGTCCTTTCTGCCTTCCCCATCAACACCCTGTGGCTCCATGTCTTATCTCTACTGAGGACCTCATCATTAGATGAACCCACAGGAAGGGAAAGGTGTGGTGAGTGGAGGGGACTGGCAGTGGGTAGACTGGAGGACTCTGTCTTCATCTTGTGCTGTTGATTTAGTGCGTCTCACAGCAAGCTTCTAGGCCATCCGTAATGGGCAGCCTTCTTTCTTGAGAAACCTGTGGAAAAGCCTGCATCCTGGGGATCAGGAATCTACCCCCGACTTTCCCATGGACCTGACAGGCAGTGGTGCACACATGGCCTCTCATTGCCCCACATTTCAGGCACTCAGTATTTTCCAGGGACAGGCACCCTCAGTTGAGTTTGTGCTGCACCTCCTCAGAGCCTGGAGTCTCCAGTCTTGGTTACAAACCATTCTTAGGCCCTCCCATTACTTAGGGACTTTAGGCATCTGAGGGGCTGTGAAATATTTATTTGCCAATCAACAAACTTTAGGTCCTTAGGGATAAAATTTCACCTGTGTTTCCCAGTTTTTGGGGTAATTGAATTCAGTGTTTTCATTTGTTTGATTGTTCCCCAAATTCTTTTGTTTGCCCAGAACTGTCAAGCAACAGCTAAACTCAGTCAGAAGCACTCTTGGAATTTAAACATCATCACTGGGCAAAAACCCTATAGCCACATGCTGGTGCCTATTCACAGACAAATGTTTTACAAAAGCCAAAGAAAAAAGCATGGTTTTAGTGTGTTTGAGTAAAGACTGACATTTTGATAAAGGCAGCTAAGAAGAGAGAAGCTGGTATCCTTGTGCACAGTGAGGAAACTGTCTTTGGTGGGGGTCACTGTGGGCTCAGGGTGGAAACTTCCCTCTGATTTGCAAGCTGTACTCTGGACTTTACCAGAACCAGAGATGGTTACATTTTGGGAGATGGCTGCATCCCCTAAATGCCCATGAGATGCCCTGTAATCCCCAACTCATTTAGCTTTCATAAGGGGAGAGTCCTTCTGGTATTCCTTGGGAGACTAAATTTCCTATTGAAATGCTCTGACTGTCAGCATATAGTTAGAGCTAAGGGAGTCGAATCTGCTCTTAGCACAGAGGAGAGCAGAAGGAGCCTGGGTACCAGCGAGTAGCCTGGAGCGGTGGAAGGAGCCCTCAGTGCAGTCAGGAGGCCTGACTGGTCCCAAATTCCTTCAGGTCTCTGCCCAGGTCATCAGAAGGGAATCCACACAGAGCATCAACCCCAGGCCTCCTCACTTTTCTCTAAAGCACTTCTCCCCCACTGGTGTGCTTGCACAGACTTGTTTACCTATTGACTGTCTCCACTATGTCAGAATGTGGGTTTTGCGGGGCAGTACTTGATTCTGTTCTGTGCCCTGTAGGGTGAACGTGTGAACTCTTGAGAGAATGGAGATCACTTCCTGGGCCTCTGTTTCTGGATTGAGCCTAACGGAGATTAGCTACTACAGGTGATCTGTACAGATATTTGCACAATGAGGGAAAGAGATCTTCTCTTCCTCCAGCCTTGTGCCCTCAAAAGACCTCACACTCCCTCTCATTTCCCAGCACTTGGCCCCAATACCACTCCCAAACCTGCTCTGCCTGGTTCATTCCTCCTGATTCTTTAAGATTTCATTCAAACACCATCCTACTGTTAACACCCTCTTTACTTCTCTACAGACCCTGACATCATTATAATTCCCCTGTATACTTAATCTCTGTTTCTCCCACTAGACTGTCCCTCTCCGATTCACTGCAGTTCTGCCCAGATCCTTACGCCTAGTAAGTGCCCAAAAAGTACTTGTTGAGTGAATAAAGTAGCAGATTGGATTAGATTGCCTCCAAGGTTTCTTTCAGCTCTAGCGTATCTGCTGCCATAATATCCACTGGTTGGTGTGAACTTTGGAGACTGTCACATAACAGTGCTTCCCAGCCTGAGTCTTCTAAGAGCACCTGCATTAGTATTTATATGACGGTGAAGTTAAATCAACTTATTTTTTTACTCACCCTCCCCCTAAAAGAGGTAACTATAAATAAATATATGACTTTTAAAATAAGACGCTAAACTTAAACAAATCTGTTCTTAACTAAAACACGTTCACTTGTGTACCACGTTAGAATCATCTCGCAAACCCTGGGTGGAGTATGTATCAGACATTGGGAAACATACTGCATTATAATGAATTTCCACTGCCTCATTCTGGTCCAACTTAGAAATAGTTGGAAATTCGAACTCGATCATTTTAACCTACCCACAGATACCAGTCTAGAAAAAGTCAAGCCACGCTGTTCAGGTGTCAAACTGGTTTCAGACTTCATGTCATTGTTTCCAGAGATGGAGGCACGAAAACCCGCTCGCCCTGTTAGTCATTCCACGGGGCTGATGACTGTGGCTCTCCGCAGAGGATGCTAGGATAGCAGTACGGCCCTTGTCCCACCCGGTCAGCCCTCCCAGAGAGCCATGGTCCATGCAGCTTCCCAGGGAGGGAAGTCACTGGTCTTTTGGAGACGCCAGATTTGCACACAGCAGTAGGAACAAAAAGTGAAAGCTCAGTTAGGCGGAGCGGAAGGAGCAGCAGAAAATCTCAAAAGCAGATGCAGAACTGTGCTGTGCATTACCACACATCCTAAGAAGCCCGAAAAATCGAGTCCTTCTCTTGGGCTGAGAGTTCTGAACTAACATGAAAACCAATCAGTCCTGTAAACTTGTACTGAATGCTTACTATCTGCTAGTCATACGGTTATGGCTGAGGTCATAATCACAAATAAAATTCATAGTTTCTTTTCAGCAATTTAGGACCTACGAAGGGAGACAGGAAGATAAATGCACGGTAAAATCTAAGCAATAATATGTAGAAGGTGCGGTGGGGTGGAGATCAGGACACACAGCACTGAGGAAGTGAAGTTTGAGGCAATTTAGCCTTTAAGACTCAACTCAGATGTTGCCTCTTCCAGGAAGCCTTCCTTGATCCCTCCTCCTAGCCCCAACTCTCAGGCTGGCTTCAGTGCCCCTTGCACAGCTAAAATCATACAATATGATTTTAGCGTATCATATTGTAGTTTTCTGTTTACTTTCTTATCTCTTTCTTGAAGACATAGATTGAGTCTTATTCAGCATCGTGTCCTAGGTGCTTGGCGTGGTACATACAGCAGGTATTCAGGAAACAATTTTGGAATGGAACAATGTAAGGAAACAATGGCAGTGAAGCTGGAGAAGGGGAAGAGGATGTGAGAGACACTTAGGAGGTTACATTGATAGAACTCGGTGACCAACTGGTGGGGGGAGGTTGGTGAGGAAATAGGCTAGGATGTCTCAAGCACTTTACATTTTCTACTCATTTATAGTAAACGAGGACTCGGGAAAATTAATTGTAGTGAGATTCTAGCAACTCTTTTTGGCGAACACAGAAATTCCTTGAAATTTGGACTTCATAGGAGCATAGACCCTCCTAACTTGAAAGGAACAATCAGGGCACATTATCCAACGTGTATCAGAACCTTCTTTATAACACTGGTCCCATCTAGCATATGCTTGACCACTTGCAATTAAGAAAGTCTACCTCCTGGAAGAGCCCTCTTTATCTCTAAATAGTCTTGCCTATTAGAAAGTTATTTGTATTGATCTGAAATCTATTCTCTTGAAATTCATCACATATTTTTTCTAGTTCCAAAACTTAGGGTTTAGAGTAATTGTGACTCATCTTCCACAGGACAGGTGGATCAGTTAGGAGGTATGTTTAGGGAGAGGAGGCTTTGCCCCTTCCTTTCAAAGGTTCAGGCTGGAAGTTATATCCACTGTGTGTGTGCACAGACCAGGGCCGGAACTCAGTTACAGAGTCACATCCAGCTGCAAGAAAGGTGGAAAATGCAGCCTTTATTTGGGATTGCTATGCATCCAGCTAAAAATTGAGGGTTCTGGACGCTGAGGTGTGGGAGAATGGCTATCAAGTGATGCAGACACACATTAAACATTTGCAGACATCCATCATTTCCTTTTGTTCCTTTCTCAGCTTCATCTCCTCCCACCTAATCTCTTTTCCAGGCCAAACAGCTTCAAATTTCCCCATCTGTTCTCCAAGGGCATGGTTTTGAGTGCTTTTAATAGCTAAAGCTTATTCTCTTCCAAATGAATTCCCAACTGTTCTTAATGAATCTTTGTTGGGTTCTTGAGGCCATGTTTTCTCATGGTCATTCCCTTGCTCTTCTCTTTTATGCTTTATTAGGGTTTTTAAAAATTATAAAAATAATAAATGCTTGTTGTAAAATTGAAATAATATCAAGGCACATAAAGAAAAAAACAATTGTATCTCTTTACGTCCTCCTTCCCAAGGGAGCCAGTAGCAGTGGCTAGAGCCTAGCAAGGGCTCTGCCACA